ATCGAAAGTCCTGCTACCACCAACTTTACTAACCAGCATTTCGAGCAACCTGGTTTGTCGATCGTTGGAACTGAGTATCGCGTCATGCAGCTTGTCAATGCCTCGACTGAACGTCTGCTCGACCGACCGAGACTGCTCGTCTAGTCGCTTTCGGAGAAACGACCTCGTTGGTGGGTCAGATCCTTCACCACCATCCTCGTCGCAATCCTCTATTATCCCTTCATTGAGAACGCATGTGTTTCTGTTAGGGATCTCTAAACCACGGGGTTGACCGCCGAGATTAACTTATCTCTCTCGGCGAGTCGCGCTCGTGGACTCAGGTGTCGCAGCGCTAAGGGGATTCTGCGCCTGTGGCACACTCTGTCCTATGCTCTGACTCGGCAAATTGGCTGTCGACTTTCCCATAGCTGTTTTCTTTTTTACCGATCGTGTTTCAATTGGCATGAACTTCGTAGTTTAGCACTGGGTCCCACTGGGCGTGCCAAAATGTTGACCCTAGAAACTACAAAGCCTACGTGGCGCGCAGGCCGAGTAATTACTAAGCTAACTACGTCCTTCGGTGAATACGGGGCGTGCCAACTCGTCGGCCGAGCTCGGCCGAGGAGTAAATTTGCTGATGTTGCGTTGGGTCGCGCTACTGACTTCTGCGTCTTGCGATTGCGGCCGAGAAAGGAACACGTCTCGGCCTCTTGGGCTCTCGAACCTGAAGACAAGGTTACTATTCTTACGAAGTTCAATATCAGATTCGGCTTTCAATGTGCCGAATGTAATAACTGTAACACCTCACTTCGCCGAGAAAGCTAATGAGATGACCTCGACCAACAAGGATTCAGAAATCCTTCTCGACCGAGACTGGGATAGGTAATCAACCGTCCTCGCCGCAGTGCTGTTGATGCCAACAGAAGATACTGCGAGACCGACTGATTCTACGGTGACAGAGCTATCTATGCCGACTTAAGATATCACCGGTTGCTTCCACAGTGCTGTTGATGCCAACGGAAGATGTGTCAGCGAAAAAAAGAAAAGAAAAATCACAAAGTTGTGAGAGTTTGCGCAGGGCGATTTTGTATTGATTTGCAGGGGGCTTTCCCGTTGCTGAATGTCTTGTATTTATAGTAGCAGAACACCGAGCCCGAGTTCCAATCCTATTCGAACTAGGTTTCCTTCTCCGGATTAATATTACCTCGATCAGTCCTATCTCCGCTAGGACTACGAATCTAGTCCTTAACTGAACCGGATTCGCTTTCTAGTTTATTGATCTCGTCGAGAGTCCCTATTGTACTAGGACTCGACTTGCATTCTGATTTAACCGACCTAGGCTTGGAAGCCCATGAGCTGAACGCTCCATGACCCTTTCGCCGTACGGCTTCCCGGGCCGAGAGTGATTCTTCCCTCGGCCCAAACTGCTATTTTGGGCCCAAACAATAGGACAACTGGAATTCCCTCTTATAAATATCTGACACTTAGGATTTCATCTTCTTAAACTACTCAATCTTTACATGGTCATTATCCAGAATATAGTTAAAATTAAATTTTAAAAAAATCAATAAAGAAAACAATCAAATGACTCAAATTACCCTTCAAAATCTGGAACCCTCCGCCCCGCCCTCACCATTCCTCCCGTCCCTCACCTCTTTGTTGCCCTTTCTCTCTCCTTTTTTTTCTTTCTCCTCCTCTCTTAAGCCGAAGAAGAACACAGGAAGGCCGACCACTTCACCAGCAGCTAGATCGGCGTTGGACACGCCAGATTTGAGGTTGAGTTGCCGCTGAACATCCATCGGCTTCCATGTCTAATTAAGAGTGGAGAAATTGAGGGAAAATGAGAAGCAAAAATAGGAAGAGGGAGAAGAGATGGGGTGCCCCGATAATTCGCCGGTCGGCGATGGGGGTGGGTTGTTGCTGGTTTCCGGTGATTTTTTGGCGTGGACGAGATGGTGAATTGATCACTATTATAGGGGTAATTCAGAAATTATGTTGATAAAAAATTTTAATTTGCATTTTTTTATTTTAAAAAATAAAAGAGACAGGTGGTAACTTTTGATTAGCTGGGAAATCCAACTGAGATACAATGCCCGGCTCCTGGAAAAAAAATTTCCTTTGTATGGGAGAATTCTTTATGAGACATGACATCGTTGCTTGCTCCCGAAGCTTTCGGAATTCAGCTTTTCTAGTGTTTGATTATAATAATTGAACTAACGATGAAACCCAAAAGAGATGGAAAAAGGACGAAAAAGAAATAAAAACAAAGAAAGAAAGAAAGAAGAAAGCATGGGATAATGGGGCCTCTCTCTCTCTCTGTCTCTCTCTCTCTTGGCTGTATTGTTGTAGGATTCCACTCACGCGTACGCATATTCCGAAATTCCAAACAAAGAAAAGAAACCCTTGTTGTATATCATCATACTTCACTCCTCTGCTCTCAACCCTTCACAAAAACTTGAAAGACAACACAAACTCTAAAATTCTTCTGGATCCAAAGCTTTTAACCATGAACATGTTCTCCTCCAAAGAAATGCCCTCTCCGTCGTCGTTGTTCTCTGCCTACGCCTCCATGGCGGCCTCGATGATGCTATTTCGGTCCATGGCCAACGAGCTCATTCCTCATCCGGTTAGGGGCTACCTTTTATCTACCATCAGATACATTTTCAAGACTCATTCCCCTCAACTCACCCTAGTCATAGAGGAATCAAATGGAATATCGCGCAACCAAGTCTACGAAGCTGCAGAGATTTATTTGTGCACAAAGATCAGCTCCAACACCGAAAGGATCAGAGTTAGCAAGAGCCCCAAGGGGAAGAACTTGACAATCCGACTCGAGAAAGGCGAGAAGTTGGTCGATTTCTATGAAGGGATTCAACTCAAATGGCGGTTTGTTTGTGCAGAGTCACAACAGAACAACCGTAATGATCCATTTTCTCCTCCGAGGTCCGAAAAGCGCTACTTTGAGCTAACATTCCACAAGCAGCACAGAGAGAAAGTTTTGGATTGTTATGTGCCTTATATTCTTGAAAGGGCCAATGAAATGAAAGATGAAGAAAGGGTTTTGAAGATGTACACATTGAATTCAAACCCTTACGATGGCATCAAATGGGAACCCATCAATCTCGAACACCCTGCAACGTTTGAGACTCTGGCCATGGACCAAGAGCTCAAGAATGCAGTTATCGATGATCTTAACAGGTTTGTCAGGAGGAAGGAGTTCTACAAGAAAGTAGGAAGGGCGTGGAAACGAGGGTACTTGCTGTATGGTCCTCCGGGCACTGGAAAATCGAGCTTGGTCGCAGCCATGGCTAATTATCTCAAGTTTGATGTCTACGACTTGCAGCTTACTAACATATTTCGTGAGTCAGACCTGAGAAACCTGCTGCTGGGCACCGCGAACAGGTCAATTCTTGTGATTGAAGACATTGATTGTAGCGTGGATTTTCCCGATCGTCAACATACAGATGGAAGAAAGCAGCATCAAGTACAGGTTTGCCATACTAGTGCTTTGCTTTCTTATATAAAATTGTTGAGTTTGATGCCTTGAATTGATCTTTTGATTTGGTGAATCTTGATTTGGGTTAATTAGCATTTGATTGGTTATTTAGCATGTAACTAGCAACTAGCTTAGCACTAAGCATTTCAACCTCAAAACCTCAATCAACCAACCCTACCTCACTCTTTGTTTTTGGATCAAAGGGGGAAAAGCACCGGCACCCACATAGTTAGGTAGGAAGTTTTTTTTTTTTTTTATATATTTCCCTTCTCGACTCTTTTTACCCCATTGGATTGGAAGGAAAATCGATTGTTTTTTTGTATTCTGCATTGCACCGGTGAATGTACTCGTACATTGGACGGCTGGATTTGTGTGAATGAATTTTGATAGTCCTAATCTAAGCCTTTTAAATACTGATACATACATACACTGGTGTATTATCGAAAATCCGTTTTTTTTTTTTTCTCCGGCTTTAACCCTAAAAAGAGAACCTGTGTTTTTCTCCGGCTTTAGCCCTGGAAAACGCACTCCTCGGTACAAGAAGTTTAGCTAATACATCTTTGTCTTCCTGCAGTTAACACTGTCTGGACTACTAAACTTCATAGATGGCTTATGGTCTAGCTGTGGAGACGAGAGGATCATAATTTTTACCACTAACCACAAAGAAAGGCTAGACCCTGCGCTTTTACGCCCGGGCCGCATGGACATGCACATTCATATGTCCTACTGCACATACCACGGATTCAAACTCTTGGCCTCGAACTACTTAGGCATCTATAACCACCACCACCTCTACGGAGAAATCGAAGACCTACTCAAGGAAACGGAGGTAACTCCAGCGCACGTTGCAGAAGAGCTGATGAAGAACGAAGATGTTGATACTGCACTCGAAGGGCTTGTCAAGCTTTTAAAGAGGAAGAAATTGGAAGGCGATGAATGTGAGGCAGAGGCTGAGAAGAAGACTGCAGCAAAGAGGCAGAAATTGGGAAGCAACACAAGAAATCTGTGAGGAATAACAGAAGAATCGCCACAAAAAGAAGCAGCAAGAGTTTGTCCGCTAAAAAACCCATTTTGTATTAAACCAATCATCTGTTTAGAATGAGATTATCTCTAATCCTATTACGAAGAGACAGCTGCTAGATTTTGGGGCTCAGTTTCACTACTACTGTAACATAAATGAGTGCGGTCATCTAAATATTAATGGATAATAAATGGGAATTGTTATTGACACTCCAAAAATCTCATTTTACACTTCAAACTTTCTATATTTAGAAAGAAAAATACACTTGTGAGGAGTGTAAAATGAGATTTTTAGAGTGCCAATAACAATTCCCTATTTTCTTTAAGCTCCGTTTTTATGCTGTTGTGAAAAAAGCTTAAGGAGGACGTCTGAGGTGCCAAACTCAGATCATTTCTTCATGCTGCTAAAACAACATAACCATAATCAAAGAAAAAACAGGCATTAGCAGACGAGTGGATTACTCGTAAGCCGACGAGTGGAGTACTCGTAGGCTGTCACCGGGAATAAGTTCAAAACTAAACTCTTGCTTTCAAGAATAATTTACTACTTCCCTGAAGAAATTCAAAACAGGACAATCTTACAGAACATCAATATCCATATTGCATGCTACAGGGTTTCAAAACTATTCAAAGATGAGTTAGCCTATCTGATGGTGGTAACGAAATCACTAAACTCGCCTCCCCTTGTATACGTCGTCACCTCTTTAGTATGTGTGCATCCCACTCTACACATCAAGTTGAGATATCACCACGATACAGAATCTGCCACTCTAGGTAGAGAAGAAGGGTTCTTTTCCCATATTTCGGATATCCAAATGAGATTGGGCTATTTCTCCATACATATGGAATTTCCAGGGGAACTAGGATACGCTGCTACCTCGGCATGGATGACAAAGATAAACCCTGTAAGGAAGAGCAGGAAGGTGGAAACATATCCTTTCTTGCAGAAAGAGTCTCGATTAGTTCTTCTATTTGATGTGTTAGCATAAATACTTCATCAACTACGTCCTTCGTTACTGAATCTTCCAGCATCCTACAAACCATACAAAAAATGAGGACAATGGACAGAGAGTATACATAGAAATTAATCAGAACTAGACAAACCTCTATCGCATAGCAGACCGTAACACACAATATCGAAAACTTACTTAGCAAGGAGAAAAAATGCATTCCTCTTTGTGCTAAGGCCTAGACTAGCATCAAGATGAGCTATGAATAATTTGCACATTTATCTAAACACAAAAAGAGCTGAAATGATAAACTAACCTTGCTTGAGATTCCGTACTGCTGCTGCACTGTGAAAATAGCACCTTGATGACAGGATGCAGATCTATCTTTGGTACTGGTTCTTTATTGCCCTCTCTGGCCAAACAATGACCGGTGCCAGACCAAGAATTTGTATTCATGAGAACAATTTGCACCCTGGGAGATCTGCTTTTTAGGTCACTAACCACGGTCCTAAAAGATAATTCGTCTTTTGCACACTCAAGTAGTTGATTTGCGAACATACTTTCCAGTGTATACTTCCTGTTTATGAAATAAAACTTTTGAAAATTAAACTTCACCATGATACTCAAACAAACTTCAATACTGTAAAGTGAAAAGGAGATAACCACCGAAAACTAAAAGGTGGACAAAAGACACAAGTGAGTGATGTGAGTACCCACGGGGGGAGGGGGAAGAGAGATATATATTCATTGTAGATCACTATATGCTAACCTGAATATGTCCGCTGGCTCACCAACTGGCAGGCCAGTGGAAACATTACATTTAAACAATCGAACTCCACCATCTACAAGTGCACTGCCATTATCACAAGGGTAAGCTCCGAGAAGTGATGAACATTGAGGGCAGAAAAATTCAACCCACTCAACATCTATAGATAGATTGGAGGACCTAACCATAAAAATGTTTTCAAGATACCCATTTAGGAAAGATTCGTGGTTTTTCAGGATCTCCGTACTTTTAGTAGGTTTTTGGTCCTCTAAAGAAATTTCAGAAAAACAAAGTCTGCAGCTGTCACCATCATAATTTTGAACATGACATCCCATATGATTACAGCATCCTGGTGTAGACGAATTTTTTATAGAGCAAACTGATCCTGAGCAGAGATGAGGTGCATCCTCACTGTTACTTTCGTCGTTAGCAACTTCAGATTTAGATTCTGCAGCAAAATCTTCATTGCATGTGAGATTACTTCCAAGATTAAGTTCTGACTCGGTAAAACCATTGTCACCACTTCCATCTGATTCACTATCGTATCTTTGGCATTCACCCAAGTCAGGAAATTCAAATCCAACAAGATCATCCTTGCATAGTGTAATATTTGTAGAGTTCACCAGGCAGACACCCTTTGCACACATGTAAGAATTTGCATATCTAACAACCAGCTTCTCACTAATGCCTCCAAATGAACAACAGCAAGCCCCAAACCAGTTATCAGCCACCTCTCGCCAATTGACTGAAGGCATTTCCACAAACTGGCTACATTCATAAATAAAGGTTGAAATACCACAAAGAAACAAGAAAGAGACTTTCAATGGTTAGTTAAGTACAATTTAATGAGCTCAAACAAGAAAACAAATTCTTACCTCAGGGGACTTGCAGTCAACTTAAACGAGCAATTTCTGCAGTAAAAGTGAACTCCAGACGATGATAGACTCTTGACCTCTGAAACCGACCGACCAACCAAGCGTTACATAAAAGAAGCAATTATTTGTTTACACGAAAAGAAAACAAACAATCCTGATTAAAAAAAACAGAGGTACATCATTATGCAGAACCCTAAATAAAAGGCATTAACAAAACAAAATGTGCACACTTTTCAACATGATAATTCATGCCCTTACAACAATATCCCAGAAAACTAATGTATTGATCAACAATTACCAACATGGGCCAACTCATTAATCATCGAAAAGGAAAAGACCACAACTTTAATACAACTTTGCTCAATCACTCCATAAAAACACAAAAAATTGTAGTCTTCTTTCTCTGTACATCGTTTTCCCTCCTGCAAAGAAAGCAAATTTACCTGCACACATTCAAATACAACTTACAAACAAACAAACATTGAACTAGACCAAATACATTAAGCAATAACCCAGAATCAATGTCTTGAGCAAATATTATCAACATTGGACAACTAATTAAAATCTTCGAACAGACGACAACTTTAATAAGGAATCAAACCATAAAAACACAAAAAAAGCTAGTCTTTTTATTTTACACATCAATTTTTCCAACTGCAAAGAAAACAAATTTAGCTAATACAACAAACATTGAACAAAACCAAACGTATGAAGCAAAAAATCCAACTCACCAGAAGCCAACGAAAGCGGCTTCAATTCGCCCTCCAACGCTTTCTCCTCCCCTCCATCCAAACTGAGTAAAGAATCGAAGCTCAAAACAATGGGGTGATCAACAGGGAGGAGGAGGACGAGCTTGACTTCAATGTGATCGTCTAGGGCACTGAAGCTCACCGGCGACTCAGCGTCCACCAAAACCCTAGGCATTGGAACCCTAAGCGAGACCTCCTGAGCGTCCTCGGCCCAGCTCACCAGGACCAGAGACTCTGCGGGGGTTATGTGGACGGTGAGCTTCCGGCATTGAGTCGAGGGTTTTGTGCAGGAATCGAATAGGAATAGGCGGAGGATTGGGATGTGAGATTGGGCTTCCCATGTGAACCGCCATTTTCTCGGATTTCCGGCGGTTTGAAGCTCCATGGACATTCTTTTACTGCGGCCAGCTCTACACGAATACAATGGGAATGTTTTACAAATTTTTAGGGTTTTTCTTTCACCGAAAAATAATCTAAGGATTTTTTTGGTCAAAGTATATTCATTACTAAGTTACCAACCCAATAACTATACATAACAGGAGGTTCAATTACAAGTCAAGCACAAAATAAGAAATGAGCCGTCCAAGCAAAACATAGCCCAAACAGACAATCGGGCCCAAACAGAACAACAAAAAACAAAACAACTAGAAACAACCTGCACCACATCGCCATCGACCGGAATCCGCCAACGTGCACACCATCCCCAGAACATACCGGAGATCTAGCCAACCAATGCCCCATAAGTGGTGGAAAAGTAATAAGGATCCTCTCCGGATTCTCTTTGTGAGGATCTCGAGAATCCTCTAATCACATCCGTTCATTGTACATCGTGCAGCCAGTTTTCGTCAAGTATTGTTTTTATTCAATTTTAAATAAAACAAATTACAATAATTTATAACCGCATGATATACGATGAACTGACATGATTAGAGGATTTTCAGAATCCTCACAAAGAGGATCCGGAAAGAATTCTCATTCATGGAAAAGAAAACTCCAACCTTCCTCTATTAAACACTAAATAGATCTAAGCCACAAATTGATAAAAACTAGCAAGAAAGAGATCCCACCAGTAACAATGCCAATAAAGGCATACACATGGAAGGTGGTGGTGTTTCCGCCAAAGCCGGAGCTGTTCACACCTTCCAAGAGGTTCACGACAAGTCGCGTGAAGAAAAATGGACTGCAAATCTGAAATTGAGTGAGATAGCCTTAACAAAAAAACTTCACTTATAAAGCTTCACCGACAAAGTTTCAACCCAAAAACTTCAACCCAAAAACTTCAACCACTCAAGTTATGTGCCCAAAGGAAAAAGCATCAACACTACAACATGTAAAAAGCTTCACACACTCTTGATCAAGATAGTGTTAAACAAAATTAATTTATGGGGTCCTATGACTAGCTTCAACCATTCAAGCTATGTGCCCAAATGAAAAAGCTTCAACCATTCAAGCTATGTACACAAAGGAAAAGACTTAAACCACTTTTTTTTTTTCCCCACAAAAAAGTAAGAAGGAAATGGGCTTAAGAACAAATATATATGCTTGGGCTACATCCAAAAAAGAAAAGGAATTTTTGAAGTCTTTTTTCTTCAATGACTCAAGAATATCAAGTCACCTCATTCGACTATCCTTTTCACTTGGAAACTTAGGAGACTCCCACTATATGTGTGAAATCTCATTCTTGGATTTCACTGTTATAATCTACGTATTTGTATTATTAAGATTTTATATTATTTTTCGATAATTTATATTAATTTATTTGAATTTAGATTTCAATTAAACTAATTACGAAGTTGAAGTTTGGAAATTAATTATTTAAAATCCGTAGACCTTTGGAGGTCACAATTTATATTTTCGAATAGATCTCGAAACCACGAACGTATAGGTAAAAGCCGTTTGCGAGTCCAGATTATAATGGTATAGTTACGGACATTTGAAGTTGTTCTACTAAACTATAGTTTTTAAATGAGATAAACCCCCACCATGTGGGAGTTTAAGGGAGCCAATTAGAGGTAAGGAAGGGAGCCAATCAGAAAAGAAGGGGGAAAAGAACCAATGAGAAAAAAGGAGGAAAAAAAAAAGGGTTATCTCCCTTCCAACCCATGCACACACCACCAACCCGACTTGATTCCGGCTTCCTCCTGCCATTTTTTCCGTTGAAACGCCACATCCACCCCTGCAACCTCTTCCACAATTTCCCATATATCATCTCCACCCAAGATTGTGGGTTTTTAGGTCCAAATTCGCGAGGAACATCACCGGAGTTCAAGGGAGGGTTTGATGGTGATCCACCATTTTTGAATGTAATCCCGTCAATCTCCACCACCATTAGACTCCCCTTGAGCCCTGGAACAAAGCCCAATCAGTTTTAGGGGTGACGGAACATCGGAGTGGACAAATTGAAGCTCACCCATTCTAGGGTTTCCAACGGGTGCGAGCTGATTTAGGGCCTTTCCCAGAAACATTGGACTTGGCCACAGATATAAAACTTACTCTACTCATTGAGATCTTTATTTCTATAAATTTTGGTAATTTTTAAAAATAGTTGAATTTTTCCGGTAAGTCGGGGTGGCCGACCGCCGCCTGTGGTGGCGCGTGCGGCGGCAGCCTGGCCAGTGGGACGACCGTGTCCTTTGAAGTTCAAATAGATGCCTTGATTTCATAATTGATACCCGTATGACGTAATTTGATTGTTTGGACTTAGTTTCATTACAATATCTTACTTGGTCAAAATATGAATTAACGATCCGACCGTTGGATCGTCATCAAACCTTAATATGTGATAAGAACATAATATTTTTAGATCATAGAAACTTACGGATCAGGAATTTGACGTACGGATCTTCCCTAATTGGATTTCTAAGTTTGTAAAATAAATTGTTGATCGCCACTTAATTCTAGTAATTGGTGGAGATCCGACCTTCGGATCACGATAGGATTTTAGTATGTTGTTCTAGAAGCATAATGTGGACTTTGGGAAGTTATGGATCAGAAATCCGATATGCGGATCTTCATGATCGAATTACGTAGAGTTGTGGACCCTATCTTTGACCGAGAGTTGACTTGTGGTCAACATGTCTCGAAACGGTCTAAATAATAAAATTAGTACTACGGTACTAATTGAAATCTAGTGGGCCTATATTGGTTAGATAGTGATTTGATTATTATCTTAATTTCTTGTATTGGTATGATTTGTGAATATGATTTTGTCTTATAAATATGATTTCTATTGAAATGTGATTTTTATATATTTAACCATAGACCTATGCTTATTAAATAGGATTTGGCTTGTGTACTGATGATGTTTGTGATATATACGTGTTTAATTATCTCTTTAATAATGTGATTGATAATTATGATGAATGTTATGACAATTATGGGATCTAAATATTGTTTGATAATTATTTGGATATGATTGCCAACTGAATACCTATTTGAACTTGGCATTACTACCTAGCATGAGATGAAGATGAAAGTCAGGAGATGAGTTAGGTACTTTATTAGATTTTTAGTAGAAATAGTAATTAAGGGAATTCCTTGTGTTGTGCTCCATATGACTAGATGCTGGTTGATATGGGGAATCGATAGCATGTATGCGTATAATTATGTATAATGTGTGATGATGAGATTGCACCATGTAGTAGTGGTACATGGATGGTCCTGCTTGGTATATCCATAATGGGGGACCATACACATGCTAGGAGTGATCATGCTTGGTATATCCGCGATGAGTGATCACTACCTAGAGCTATATGATATAGTCCTGCTTGGTATATCCGCGATGGGTGATCACTGCATGATGAGATTATGTCTATGGTTCTGCTTGGTATATCCGCGATGGGGGACCATACGCATTCTAGAGATGATGATGATTAGTTGTACTTGGTACATTTGATAGGCGATCATATTTAGTTTGGTTCTGTTGAGTGGTTCGGAACCCGAGGTTGTTGAATTTCGTGGAATAGTCTAAAAACCCATTATTTGGAGAAGTAGGTGTTGGAGCAATTATGTTTTTATTTAAATATTTTAAATATATTTATATTTCGGTTTATTACAAACATTAAATAAAAAACATAAATTGTTATCAACCTTTGATTGAAAACAGTTTTGCATTTGATTGCAGCCGTTTTACACCCCATAAATCCTTTTTAACTCCCTTGATTTCTAACGTCTACTTATATATATATAGGAAGATGGTATATATATAAAAAAAATACAGATGAGAAAAAAAAAGTTTTTACAAATATTGATTTAAAAACCAACATATTGAAAAAGTGTGAGTTCGAAGGTTCTTCCGGTGTGCAAGGAAGAATCTTATCAAAAGAATAAGATTCTGGGTTGTTTTATCCTGGGGACGACGTAGTATTTGTGAACTGCTTGCACATTTTGAGTAGAGCTGCGAAACGTCTTAAAGAGAGCGACTTAGTCCGCGACTCATCCCAAGAATCATTCACCACTCAAGGCTTCTACATTTTTTGGGTAACTTTGTTCATTTCTATTTCAGTTTACAACAATTTTAAGACGAGATCAATCTGCCATGGAATCTGAAAACAACACCACACTCGACCTTAACAAGCCTTCCAAGTTTGAGGGTCTCCACTTTAAGCGTTGGAGGCAGAAGATGTTATTTTTTGTCACCACAAAAAAAATTGGCTTCTTTTTGCACCACTATCAAACCAACTCTCCCTGAAGAGCCCACTATTGCACAGACCAAAGCTTTACA